GTTGTTAACTACCCTCAAGTTGATCCCCATTCATGGCGACCCCATGGATGAGACATCTCCAAGCCTTCCTATTCCCCACTGCTCTGGTCAGTTCCTGTAAATTCAGGCCTGTGACCTCTCTTGTTGAGTCTAACCATCTGATGTGAGGTCTATCCTATCTTTCTACATCCCTCCACCTTTCCAAGCATTGTCTTTTCTAGTGAGTTGTGCCTTCTCATGATATGGCCAAAATGCAACACCTTCAATTTGATCATCTTGGTTCCCGGGATATTTCTGGCTTTATATGCTCAAGGACCTATTTGTTTGTCCTCTTGGCCATCCAGGTTATTGACACTCTTCTCCAGAACCACATCTCAACCCCATCTGCAATTGTTACATTGCATTACTAGCCCACCAAACTGGGAGCTCTCTTTTCCTTGGTTAGTGCATGTGTGGTTTTCCACAGCCTGACACACCACCACTTTTATTATAGGCTGCATTGTGCAACCTCATTTGCTGCGCATTACATTCACCGCTTGCTTAACTTTACTATACACTGTGCTGGAAGAAAAACAAGAAGAGTTCTGTGGTACTGTTAAGGTTTCGCTGTCCATTAGTTGACAGATTCTCACTCAACTGCATTGCACAATGAACTAGTTGCTTGCATGGGCCATCTTTCTAGCACAATTGCACGTGGGCAATATAGTTGTGCGGCTTAGTTCCCATTGTTGTTGTGTGTCTTCAAGTTGTTCCTGACTTATGGTGATCCTAAGGCAACCCAATCATGGGTTTTTCTTAGCAAATTTCTTCAGAAGGGGGTTACCATTGCCATCCTCCGAGGCTGAGAACATGTGACTTGCTTAAGGTCACCCAGTGGATTTCCATGGCTTGAGCTAGGATTTGAACCCAGGCCTCCAAAATCATAGACTAATGCTTAAACCAATACACATTGGCTCATTGTCCAATTTCCCTAACCCCTTTCATTGCCTTTGGTCTTGCACCTTCTCTAGGCAACAACTGCATTATACAACAGGACTGGACAATGTTAGTGGGCAAGTGAGGACAATTTTCTACACCTTGGACTCTCTGAAGGCCACAATGGCTAGCAGAAAGCCCCTGTCCCCCCAAAAAAAAGAATGATGGTGGGATGGATGTCCACTGGTGGTTTGAAAAGTGGTTATTCAAACAAATTCAGCACCTGCCTCCTGCAGCCTGTTGAAATCACTTCCGAAATACCTATGGTACATATGTAAGGATGCTCTCTATGATACCTTCCAGGGTAATGATACTCAAAGTGCTATTCTGTGGGTTGGTCCTGGGCCATGAGCCATTGGCAGATTTCCAAGAAAGAAAGGAAAACAGTTTTAGCCGATGGGTACAAATACGGTACCAACAGTTGCAGACATGTAGGGGGTTGGGTGGGAGATTGCAGGTATCCCACACCACAGCACTATTCTAGGGTTTACTTGAGAGCACATGATGGAGTAGTCTCAACAAATTGCCTTTCTCCTGTGCCCCACCCAAACCAAAACAAAACCTGACTTTACCAATGAGAGATCCAAGAGAGAATAGTGACTCCAGACCAACTTCCTTCTGGACGCATCTCACCTTAAGTAAGAAGGCTATATATTTATTAAGCATAATAGCATTGTTCCACTGGACTGTTTATGATCTTAGATGGGGTCGGTGGGTGGGAGACATGCCATCATGGTTAAGTGTACAAACTGAACACTAAATAAATGGCAGTCAGATTATAGGAAAGATGTACCGTAACTGAGGATGGAAAACCAAATATTCCTGATCCCCAGAGGTCAGCCGCTCCACTAGCTTAGACACGTCATTGAATCTGCCCGAGTCTGAATCCCACTTACCATCTGCTGAGCTCCCTGTGTCATGAACAGGAGGAGTAGGATGTGTGGGGAATATGATGATGAAGAGACACTGCTGCTCTCTCTGCCAACTGCTTCCTTCGTCTTTTGCAGTTCAGGCAGTTTAGGTTCTCCTCTTCTGTTCCGGGTGATTAATTTTGACCATGGACTAGAGAAGCCTTTCTTTGTCCTCATGATACAATTGAGTAGAAATGCACGTTCACTTCTAAAGGTTACCAGAGTGTGTAAGATACTGTGATCCTCATACTGGTATTTACTGTTGCATGTGATCCTTCCCCCCCCCCCCCCCCCCCCCGTGGTTTTAGGAAGCACATCAGATCACACAACTGTCTGGGAATCTCAGACCTATTCTCAGCCGGTCAAGGCTACTCTCCTGAGGTAATTGTCAGCTTTAGACTTGTCTGAGTGTACATGACAATGCTCTCAACTCTTCTTAGCTGTATTCCAATCTCCTCCTCTTCTGCTGTCAAGTTGACTTATAGAGACCTTATGAATGAGAGACCTCCAAGACCCCACCTGCCATCAGCAGCAGCCCTGCAGACTCAGGGGCATGGATTCCTTTATTGAATAAATCCATATGTAAGATGATCTTCCTCTTTTCCTACCACCTTCCACTTTTCCTAGCATTATCATCTTTTCTAGTGAGTCATGTTCTATCCTGATGTGTCCAAGGTTTAGTCATTTTGGCTTCAAGTTAGAGTTCGGATTTGATTTGTTCTTCATTGTTGCTGTTGTGTGACTTAAAGTCATTTCCAGCTTATGGTGACCCTCAGGCTAACCTATCACAGGGTTTTCTTAGCTTTTCTTCAGAGAGGGTTTTCCATTGTTATCCTCTGAGGCTGAGAGTGTGTGACTTGCCCAAGGTCACCCAGTGGGTTTAATGGCTGAGCTGGGGTTTGAACCCTGGTCTCTAGAGTTGTAGTCCAATGCTCAAACCACTACACCACTCTGGCTCTTCTAGGATCTATTTATTTATCTTTCTGGTGCTTCAGAACTCTCCTCCAGTACAAAATTTCAAAGGAATTAATTTTCTTCCTGTCAGCTTTCTTCACTGTCCAGTTTTCACAACCATACATAATAATAATTCTGATGATAGGTTTTTTGCACTTCAGGATGTTATCTATTTCCTTTAGAGATGCTCTTCTAAGTTTTCTTCTGATTTCTTGAGTTAACCCTCCATTTTGATTTGTGACTGACCCAAGATATAGAGCAGGGGTAGGCAACCTTTTTGAGCCTGGGGCCGGGTTGCTGTCCCTCAGACAATTGGGGGGCCGAAGAATCAAAAATAAATAAATAAATAAATGTTTTTTTTTAAATATATATATTTTAAAATTAAAAAAAAATGCATGCACACTCTCTCAGCCCCAGAAAAGCCATGGCAAAACCCCGTGGAGATTTTGTCAAGAAAACCTCAAGAACAAGTAATAACAACAATAATCAATATCATCATGGTGGGCGGCGGCGGCGGCGGGGGGTGGCGGCGGCAGGACTGGCCTGGGGCCGGTCCAAAGGCCTCGGGGGGCCGCATCTGGCCCCCGGGCCTTAGGTTGCCTACCCCTGATATAGAGAATCTTTAACTATTTTGATGTCTTCATTCTCTGGTTTTAAGCTGTGTATATCACCCACAGTAATTATTTTTGTTTTATTAATACAGTTGCCCCTCTGTTTACACAGACTTCAAGTCTGCATCCTTCACCTGTTTGCGGGCGGGAAACGGAGGGGGATAAAATGGGAAGCGTAAACCCATTCAAGCCTATGAGGCTTGAATATTTTCAGTTTTCCATTTTCATGCCGGGGGGGGGGGGGGGGGGTCTGGAACGGATCCCAGGTGAAAATGGAGGAGCAACTGTATTCCACTATAACTCTGCTTTTGTACTTTCTTCCTTAACTTCCATCACTGGGAGTTTTAAGTCTTTGCTATGCTATGCTACTAATATAGTGTCACTTGTATATCTTAAGTTGCTGGTGTTTCTTCCTGCACTTTTCACACTTTCTTCCTCTGAGTCTATTCCCACTTTACATATGATATATTCTGCATATAAATTAAACTAATAGGGTTAGAAATTCGGCCTTGTTTGACCTGCCTGCCAATGTGAAACAATTCTGCCAATGTGAAACATTTTCTCCATTTTGTGTCCTGACAGTGGCCATTTGTCCACAATATACATTATACGTTAGAATAATCAGATGTTATGGGGTATTCACTTCTTTTAGAGGGAGCCATAGGTTTGCTACAATCTATAAAGCACAAAACAACTTTATTCCACAATTCTTTGTTGTGGTCCATTATCCAATGTATGTTTACAATGTAGTCTCTAGTGTCTCTTCCTATTCTTAATACAGTTGGGCAGCTGATATTTTTTGCTCCACATATGGCAAAAGGCTCAGTTGTTGTAAAATCTTGAGCATCACTCGGCTTTCATGGGTGATTAATGCCATGGCCTAATGGTTACTACAATACCTGTTGTCCACTTCCTTGGGGAATGGAATGAATATTGAGCATTGCCAGTCTGTGGCCTGCTGCTTTGATTTCTATATTTGTTGCCAGCTTTTTGTTAGAATTTGAGTGGCTTTCATCTCTATAGCTTGAACAGCTCTATTGGTATGCCATCTGTTCTTGGTGATTTATTTCAAAAGTTTTAAGAACAGTTTCCACTTCACTTACTAAAATTGTAGTTTCATTATTAAAAGTTTTTTTACTGGAAGACATCTGTCATCTTTTCATAGTTTTCATAGGTTTCTTGCTCCCATCATCTCTTAAATTATGTCCTAATGGTAAATCTGTTTCCCTGATGGCCATGTAGCATACTTTCTCTTGGTTTACATTTCCCTTTGATTTCTCAGTTCTTGTAAAAGAGGTCTCCTGTTCTACCTTAAAAAAATTCTTCTAGTTCTATGCATTGATTATAATAGTAGTTCTCTGTGTCCCTATCCATAAGTCACTGAATAGTTGTGTTCAGGATTCTTACCCTAGTTCTGTCACCTTTTAGTTTTGCTTCTTGCCTGTCACTGAGAAATCCCTCACCAGTGTCACCCCACATTGCTGCTACTGCCCGGTAGCTTTCCTTCTGGAGCTTATCATCTGCCTTCATAACTGGAACTCTCAGTTGTCTCTACTGATGTGTCTGACGCTTCTTTAAGAGATGTTTGGCATATTTAGCTTGGCTTCTCAGCAAAAGCCTAACTGACATGGGAGACCCTTAGCAAGTACATTTCTATACCACTTATCAGTGCTTTTAAGCACCCCCTAAGCAGTTTACAATGTGTCAGCTGATTGTCCTCAACAAGCTGGGTACTCATTTTAGCAACCTCAGAAGGATGACAGGCTGAGTTGACCCTGAGCACCTGGCTGGTACTGAACTCACAACCTTGTGGTTTGTGAGTCAATGGCTGCAATACAGGCATTTAACCACTGTCCCGCCAGGGCTCCTTCCAGTAGCAAAATCAGCACAGCCCCTTGCCTCCCAGGAGCACACAATCCCACTGCCATGGCAAGGTAGCGCTGTGGTGGAATCCCAATCATTTGTTATTAATTTACTGTATTTATGTCCCATTTTTCCTCCAATGCATTGAAGGCAGTGTACATTGCTTCTTTCCCCTCTCCATTTTATCTTCACAACAAAGTTGTGAGGGAAGTTAGGCTCAGAGAGGGAGATGGGCTGAAAGCCATAGTTCAGTATGGGGACTTGAACCTGGATCTTCTAAGACGCAGCCCAACACTGTAATCACTACAAGGCATACTCAATCTGAAATTTGACTAGCATTCACCTTTTAAACACATGGCACTGATGCAAATGCAGTGTATATTGAGCCTGCCTATTTTAAAAAATTAAAGTTTGGAGAATCAAGGGTAGAAGGAATAAGAGAAAGCAAATTAATTACAAGGGAACAAATATATGGCACGGTCTCAGCCCGCTATAGTGCTAAATTATATATAGTTACAAAGTAGAATATCTAGCTTTAAGCATTTAGGATTTGGAACAATATGACTGAGTACATGCCAGCCTCAGCATTTGTTGGATTTCAATGGAACTAAAGTAATGGTTTTGAAGGGGAGCCTTTTGAAGTTCTTGGGTATATCAGACAGAGGCAGCCGCTGTCTTTGTGTGTTGATGATTGAATCATTGAAGACTTGTAATTTTCCTTTTGGATATGCTTTCAGTTACAAAGCAGCCCTTCTGGGTGGATTTGGATATATGTCTTGGGGGACTGACAAGGTTTTTGCAAAGCCTAGGTACAACATTATAAGTAAACATCTGGCAATGCATCAATCTCCCATACAAATTTAATGTTCGTTGTTCATTGAACTCCATAAAGGGAATAGTTTTTCATGGATTTGCAGTATGCTATGGGACATGAAATAGTAGTGGCTCAAGGACTTTACCAATTATAGGGTGTTAATGCAAACATAATGCAGAACAAACCCCAAGAAAGTATCCTATGGCTCTTTGAAGACTAATGGCATGTCTGTTGCTTTTGCTGTGACAGACTAGATTGGCTAACCCTCTACAGGATGATAGAGAAGATCACATGTTCCCACACTAGGCTTCCCAGTCAGACCTTTAAAAGTAACTTCTGTATGTGGGTGGTAATTGAACAGCACTTTGGATTAGTCATACTGAATTCAATCACATCTGAGCAAATATGCAAAGTAACCAGGTGCAGGGGGACTATTTGTTATTTTGATCCTTAAAGAAATGTTATGAAATCAGTAATATATCTGTATCTATATCTATATCTATATCTACCTATATCTATATCTATCTGTATAGATTAGTTACACGAAATAATGTACCAATCTACTGGTGGCTTAGTGATTAAGACACCAATTCTGACGATCGGAGGGTTGGAAGGTTGGCAGTTTAAGGTACGAGTGCTGCATGACGGGGTGAGCTCCTGTCACTAGTCCCAGCTTCTGTCAACCTAGCAGTTCAAAAGCATGCAAATGCAAGTAGATAAATAGCTACCAATTTGGTGGGAAGGTAACAGCATTTAGTGCAGTCATGCTGGCCACATGATCACAGAGTATTCTCTGACAATGCTGGCTCTTCAGCTTAAAAATGGAGATGAGCACCACCCCTACATGACTTGGCAACCTTGTCAATGAGGAATACCTTTATCTTTTTTACCTTTAACATAGTTGGATCAATAGTTAATGTGCATGATTGATAATCCATTGTGCAACTGCAACTGTAATGCATAGAGGCAAAGCCTAGGGCCAATGCACATTTGCATGCTACACTGTATACTTTAATATGTTATTGCATGCACAACTGCTCCACATGTCCCAGAGGGTGCTGATCGGGGACTGTAGTTCCAGTAAGAGGGAACTCACTTGTGGGGTCCCTCAGGGAGCTATTTTGTCCTCGATGTTATTTAACATCTATATGAAGCCGCTGGGTGAGATAATACGGAGTTATGGTGCTGGGTGTTATCAGTACGCTGATGACACCCAAATCTATTTCTCTGTGTCTCATTTGTCGGCCTCGAATTCCAATGGCATCTCTTCTCTCAATGAATGTCTTCAGGCGGTAACGGGCTGGATGAGGAAAAACAGATTGAAACTGAATCCAGACAAGACGGAGGTGCTCACGGTAGCGGCCCCAAAACCAAGAATTGGGTTACAACCTCCAGTCCTGGATGGGGTCCTCTGAGGAATCACATCACTCCGGTTTTGAGGTCCCTCCACTGGCTGCCTATTGGTTTCCGGGCCCAGTACAAGGTGTTGGTTATCACCTTTAAAGCCCTAAATGGCTTGGGTCCAAGCTATCTCAGGGACCGCCTCCTCCCATACAATCCTCCCCGCGCTCTCTGGTCCTCTGGGAGGAATCTGCTGCAGCCTCAAAAATCAAGGCTCTCTGCTACCTCCCAAAGGGCTTTTTCTGTTGTCGCCCCCAGGCTCTGGAACAGCCTGTCGGACGAGATCCATCAATTAACATCTTTGGACAGCTTT